CTGCTGGATACGTTTTGTATCCAGCGGCCTAGCTCCTGTCTCTTATACACATCTAGATGTGTATAAGAGACAGCTCTCTCTCTCTCTCTCTCTCTCTCTCTCCCCACACACAAGCTTGCGAACCTTAACCACCCCACGCGCTACCGTAGCCGCCATTCCTCCAGAACAGGAGCCATCGTCACCTTCTTGGACTTCACATGTACGGATTACTCGTTAGGAACCTGCTGTGTATCTACTTCTCCCCGCCATCAGCCGTTTGCTCTGCCAGTATGGGCCCGCACTCATCATCATCATCATCATTTCCATGTCAATCATCTTCATACACCAGCATCACGATCTTGACTATCCTCATCATCATCACCACCATGTGTCCAGCACCATCATCATCAGCAGCAGCAGCAGCAGCATAATCATCCAGTCCATTTCGATCATCTCGCACACGTCAGCATCATGCTCCTTAACATCATCATCATCATCACCATCGGCACTACCACCATCATCGTCGTCGGCGGCGGCGTTTATCGCCATCATTTATCTTCAGGCCACGTGATTAACGAGCCAAAAAGGAAGTGCTGCATGATCGGAACTTTCTCCAAAACTTCAGCTCTGTACATCTTGAGCATTCCAATGTGCACTTTGTGCCACGTGGGCACTCCACTGATGTCATTCAACATCGGCGAATGTTCTTGCAGCATTCCTTTCTTCACCTGCTTCACGAATTTGACAGCCGCCAGGTAGAAGTAATCCTCAGAAAACTGCCGTAAGATGTCCTCGTTGTGAATCGACTTGGGCCGCATGTACTTGTGTCCAATCAGCTGAGCGGCACCGAAGATGAACGGCAGGAAGCAGTAATCATCCAACCCCCAAACCCCATGCGATCCCGCTGGTTCCAACCAGTAGGTAGTCTGGAGCTTGCGCATGAGAGAGAGATAGACAACGAAGAGGCGGGTAACCAGAGCTGGGTAATCGGAGGCAGAGACCAAGCCTAATCGCGCGAAGCAGAGCAAAAACGCGCCGAAATTAGCTTCGTGCCCTGTTCCATAATCAATCCGGATGGCATTTCCAAAACTATCAGCAAAATACGGAAAGATCTCTCTGATCGCGCCAAGTGCCAGACTCTGATCAGGCAGCACACTCGCCACCATAGCCGGTCCTCTCTCTTGAAGGCGCTTCTGCCAATCTCTGTAGGCTATGTTTCCATACCTCGCAGGCTGTTTCACAGGCGGGATCTCATCGATCCATCCCGACATGGTTTGCAACACGCCGATCAGGTTCTGCACGACAGGTGACACGTGGCACTCGTCAGAGATCTTGATCCCCTTCACCGACTCGCTCAGCGCCACCACAAACCCTAAATACAATGCTCCTCCCGTTGGACAAGCAATGAATTTTGAAATGTCCGGCTTGCTGGTGATGCGTTTGCGCGGGGTAACGAACTGGTAGGGGGGGTGTACGACCGGTACTTGCGCGGCGGGCGGCGGTGGAATCATGGCGCCGGAATTGGGTGAGGTGGACATAGGCACGTAGCTGCTCCCCGGATGTTCCATCGGGGAAGATCCCGGTGATCCTGGGACCATCGATCCGGCTCCCAGCGCGTATCCAGGTCTCGACTGATTATCGGCTGATCCGTGATTACTACTACTATCCCCCCCCGATCCCGACTGCTCAACAACCGAAGGGGTATGGGTATGACGTGACGGTGTCGGTGATGCCAATGCGCCAGAAACTACTGAATGCGAACCTGGCACGTGCCCTGGTCTGGGTGCAGGATCAGCAAATCCGCCATCGCTGTCCGAGTGCCTTGTCAGCTTGCTATCCCTGGTGGCGGCGGTCACCCCGCCGCCGCCGGGGGAGACATCTTCTTCCTTGCACACGCTGCTCCCACCATCGCCGCCTCCACCCCTCTTAGGCGATTCTGAACCTGACTCGGATCCCGACCCTGAAGCTTCGGCCTCGACACCAGCGGCGTCACCGGCATTCTGATCTTCGCTTGCCATCCTTGTCTCCGTTGACATAACCTCTCTCTCTCTCTCTCTCTCTCTCTCTCTCTCTCTCTCTCTCTCTCTCTCTCTCTCTCTCTCTTTGAAAAGCAGGGTGAGGACAACCAGCAGCAATTCAGAGGAGAGCGCTCCGTCTCTTGCTCCAAACCTCCCTTTCCGCAAGTCTTGCAGTCGAGCAATCTGTTAAGATGAACAGAAAGGGCCACTCAGAGAGAGAAAGAGAAGGAGAGAGAGAGAAAGAGAGAGACAGAGAGTGAGTGAGAGAGAGAGAGACACAGAGAGATCACGAATAGACGCATGAAAGCTCCGACGGTGGGGTGGTGGTGGTTTAAAATATTCTTGGTATAAAAAAATTCTTCGTATAATTTGTTTTAATTTTTTTTTGTTCTTGGTATAAAAATTTTCAAATTCAGGGCTTCCTGCCGTGCGTATTTTTTTCAGAAACAAAATCATAAGCTAGAGAGCAAGACCTGCTACGCCGATAACACTCATCCATAAACCACTTACATGAGCAAATAACATTAAAAAATGAAGCCAACGTTTATTGGAATTCCAAAGATTTGAGATCAAAACCTTTTTCCAACTCCAAAAATTTGAGATCCAATAAATAAATTTTAAAAAAAAAAAAAAAAAAAAAAAAGATTTGATATCAAAACCTATTAGGAGTTACCAGTCAGGTCTGTCTCTTATACACATCTAGATGTGTATAAGAGACAGGTGCGACGGTTTTCTCCGGTAAGGTCGAGTGGCAGTGATCGGGGCCGTCACTACACGGCCATGTTGTGCCTCTAGTGCCAGCAACGTGCCTGGAGTGTATTTTACAACTGTGATAGACCATTATTTGTTTCGTGGGTGTTTGGCTGGCTTTTTGATGGGGTGTGAACCCACAGTCTGTAGAGTGTTCCACCTGGTGTGGGTGAGTGATACTCTGCCTTCATTTCCATCACAGGTACCTTGACGGCAGTGTTTGGTGCCCACCTCAAGGTATAAGTTGTCCAACAGTCGTTGATGCTTAACCACAACCGGAAGGTGGATTATCACTTCCAGTGTAACAAGTTAGGGGATTGTGCAGACTATCGAGGGTTCAGCCTCTTGATGAGTCAGTGAAATTCCGACGAAATAGTTTGTCACAACCCCTTCTTTGTTGTCCTTTTTTCCCTCTCTGCCCATGGTTTACCGGGCAGCGCTTTGACGATATATACCACGACTTCGCTTGGACCCTGCTACCGTTTCTCCGGTCGGGTAGAGCGGCAGTGGTCGGGGCCGTCACTATACTGTCATGTTGTATACTGTCATGTTGTGCCTCTAGTGCCAGCAGGGTATCTGGAGTATATTTTATGACCGTGACAGACCTTTCTTTATTTCGTGGGTGTTTTGCTGGCTTGCTATGGGGTGTGAACCGACAGTCCCTAGAGTTTTCCATCTGGTGTGGGTGAGTAATAGTCTGCTTTGGTTTCCGTCACAGGTACCTTGAGAGCAGTGGTTTGTGCCCACCTCAGGGAATCAGTTGTCGAGCAGTTGTTGATGCTTAAACCACCAGTACCTCGCTATCGGCCGCGGGCCTTCCCGTATACGCGCCGCAGCCTTAGGGAGGTCGGCCAAGGGAAGGCCCGGTCGCTCCTTCTTGGCCGGAGCCCGCCAAGTACGGGGTGTTACTCACACAATAAGGAAAAAATATATATATATAAACACAAGAAAAAAAACGAAATAAAAGAAGATACCATCGTTGCTTCTTGGGGCGCCGTAGGGGAGAGAGAGAGAGAGAGAGAGAGAGAGAGAGAGAGAGAGAGAGGCGGCGACCTTCACAAAAGGTCGCGACGAACTCGCTGCCCCCCCCCCCCCTCTCTCTCTCTCTCTCTCTCTCTCTCTCTCTCTCTCTCTCTCTCTCTCTCTCTCTCTCTCTCTCTTCAAGAACGAAACGGGAATGCATGTTCTCGCAAAAGCGGGAAGATGCATTCCCGTTTCGTTTTTTGAAACGATAGCGGGAAGATGAACCATTCGTTTTTCTTATTTCTTTGTTTTTTTTTTTGTCCGTTTTTTCCGTTGTGTACTTTGCACGTTCGGGATGGCTGCGCCCGGTAGTCCGAGCCTGGGCACGGATCGGCGTACCGGTCGGCCGAGGCTCGGACTCGATAGCTGGGCCAGGTACTGGTGGTTTAACCACAATTGCGGTTAACGTGGATTATAACTTACAGTATAATCACTTAGGGGATTTTGCAGACAGTTGAGGGTTCAGCCTCCTGATGGGTCGGTGAAATTCTGACAAAACAATTTGTCACAACCCCTCGTTTGTTGTCCTCCCATCCCTCTCTGCCTACAATTTACAGGGCAACTCTTTGACGATATATACCACGACTTCGCTAGCACCCTGCTACGGTTTCTCCGGTCAGGTCGAGCGGCAGTGGTCGGGGCCGTCACTATACGGTCATGTTGTGCCTCTAGTACCAACAATGTGTCTGGAGTATATTTTTTGGCTGTGACAAACCTTTCCTTGTTTCTTGGGTGTTTTGCTGGCTTGCGATGGGGTGTGAACTGCCAGTCTGTGACGAACCATTTTCTGTAATCGCGCGATTTTTTGCGCGAAGCTGCCTTGGGGAAATGAGACGGGTCGGATGGGTGAGCTGCGGAGAAAATGGGTTGGTCGGGCCAAGTTGCATGGATACCCTCATTCTTTTTTGTTTTCTGTGAGAATTTGTCGGGTCGGTGTCGGGAAAGTCCCGAGTCGACGCTTGGGTAACCACACCTTAGCGAGCGACATGGACAACGGTTGTCATGGCCTCTTTCTTGTTCTGCTGTGAGCATTAGGAATTTTTGGCGCGATCATCGCACGGGAATATCGTTTTTGAATTTTTAACTGATGTCAAGCCCCCACGAGCTGTTCGGAATTTCCTTTTTGCAATTAAGACTTAGGCTAGGAATCTAGGTACTCTGAATTTTGTTGCGCCACGCTTCTCACTCACGCACAACTTGCTGCACTAGGAACTGGGCTCTGACTGGATCACGCCCTTAATCTTGTGTAACTGGCGTTTTAGCGGGCACGATTGTAAATGTATCTTTCTTCTTTTTTGGTCTCCTCGTGTTTGCCCGCCTTCTCCTTCGTTCTCGCCTTGCATACTCTGTTGTAATTGGCTTGAACGCCTGCATGACCGGATCGATGCGTGGAGTGTGGCTACAACCCCCACGTCGCGGCCTGGCCATGAAGACGTAGGCACTTCCTCTCTTCTCCTCCTGACCACTTGGGCTTAATCTCGTACCTTTCGCGCAGGCATGCATGCTATAAAATTTGCAAGCGTGATTATTAGTTTGCTCTCTATGGATCTTGGAGTTAGCACGATCAGTGAGGGTCGGCTAATGAGTCAGGAGTTAGCGCGATCAGTGAGGGGCGGCTAACGAGTCAGCCTGAGAGGTGAGTCGACGAAGGAGTTGGGCGATCCGACGAGTCGGGTATGAGGGGTTGACGTGCGGGCCGCGATGGACTGTGGCGCACGGGCGAACCTGGCTTGCATGCTCGAACCAGGCGGGGTGACAACTCTGTATTGATACGCGGCAACGGACTACCCGTATCGGGAGTGTAGAGCAGAGAGAGAGAGAGAGCAGCTGTGTGTGCGGGATGAGGTCCCTTCTTTCGCTTATCTGTATAATTTTGGTTCCTACTATGGCCGATTTTATTGTGGCTTTTTCAGACTTTTCCTTGTAAATCGTCTCGAATCTTCTTTGTCGTTTTTGTCTCATGTGTATGCATGGAATGAATGTGAACTATTTTCCATTAGTGATCTTTTCAGATTTCGAATCTTATTTTGTGATGCCTGTTTAAATCAATTTCGTCACCTTTTATTATCCATCTGCATGAGCAATACTCTCAGATCTAATTGGAAGCACTCGCTACGGATGTTTGGGTTTAATCGTTAATCTTCAATCGTCATCAGATCACCAAGAATGTTGTGAGGAGTTGATTATCCTTTTCCCTTTTCTCTCCTTTTCGTCACATGAATGGTATGGGTATGAATGTAATGTCTTGATCTCACCCAATATAGCATGAGTAGGATAGTTGCATGCAGGACGAACGCAATCGGTACACTGAACCCAAGACCGATCCGCTTTTCGCTCATGTGCACGCTCACGTACGACCGCGATCTCGAAAAAACCGAGTCACAGCGTACCCGCGCATCTGCATGAGTCGATCTCAAATTCATCACAAGGATGCAGGAAACCGAATTCCCTAGCCGGATATGGCTGTGGAAATTCTCTTTTGGATCACCGATCGTGAGAGTCTGAGGGATCCGGAGTATCGCGAGTATTGGGAAGGTGAGCATCTTAAACGACGGAAAAACTTGAGAGACCCAGAATTCCCCTGTCTGAGTGATAGTCTGCTTCCATTTTCGTCAGAGGTACCTTGAGGGCAGTGGTTGGTGCCCATCTTAGGGTATCGGTTGTCGAGCAGTTGTTGATGCTTAACCACAATTGAGGTTAACGTGGATTATCACATACAGTGTAATCAGTTAGGGGATGTTGAAGACAATTGGGTTCAGCCTCCTGATGAGTCGGTGAGATTCCAACAAAATAATTTTTCACAACCCCTCGTTTGTTGTCCTCTCCTCCCTCTTTACCTACGGTTTACTAGGCAGTTCTTTGATAATGTTGTTTGAGAAAGGTGGTTCCACATATGATCACAATCGACTATACCTATTTCCCATTCCCAATGAAAATGAAGTTGTAATAACAAGTTCAGGGTTTAGGGTTTAGGGTTTAGGGTTTCCCATCGATTGCAGGTTTGTTTTCGGTGCCGCGGGTTTGTTTCACGCCGCACCATCGATTGCAGAAAGTGTTGTTCGACAGGTGTCGAGCAGATTAAACCAGGCAGTGTATACTTTCATGTTCTAGCGTAAGATTCATTCGATTTTGCTCATCATGTCAGCGAAAGTAGCGTGAGATCAGCCACGAAGTTGGAGACTTACCTGTTCTCTCTCTCTCACACACACACACACACGCACACACACACACACACACACACACACACACATACATACACACACAAACAAAAACAAACAGACAAGTGTGGCAATGTATATTTCCATATTCTAGCGGTAGATTCATTCGATTTCGCTCATCCTATCCGCAAGGTTGCAGACGTACCTG